TTTAAAACAAACCTGGAGTTGTGTTTTGTTTCATTCACATGTTTGAGTAACTCTTTATTATTAGTCTGTCTACATCTCCAAAGCTTAAAACACTCTGTTCCAGCTTGTGATGTCATGAAGTGGTCGTTTAAGTTAACAGCTTTTTAGGAAAAAACACAAAACAAAAAAAAAACACTTTTAGACTACGTTTACACTGAAAAAAATCACCATATCGGAAATGATCTGTGTCCAGACATGTTGTTTCTGTGTCCGCAATCCTTCCCTATCCACACAGCTTTGAGCACATTTGTTTACATTTTACAGAAATGAAACTTAAAACCACATGGCTAATTTGCATAAACTGAGCGCTCAAAAAACATCTCGCTATTGTGCACTGAAGCGGTTCAGCTTCTGTCGAAATAAAGGACACGACTCAGTGGAATATGAGTGTTGTTTCTGTGACAGAGGGGTGTTCTGCTGATGGTGAGTCTGTTCTGTGTTTCTATCACGTTGGAGATGATTCATGTTCAACTTTTCAGAGATTATAAGTCTGCAGGTCGTACACACAGACCGTATATATGACTGGACATATATTCTAGCCTCGTAGCATTTTGGCGGTGAATTACTTCGCGGCGCACAGACCTACATCAGAGTATCAGCGTTTTCAGGCGTCCACACAGTGCCGGATCAGATCTGTACTCAGATGAATTCGTGGGAGCTGGCGGCACCAGATCGTTCCGTCTCTGGAGCCGTTTTCAATCGGATTAGTGTGAACGAACACTGCATCCACAACGAAAATGACTCGAATATGTACTAGTGTGGACGGGGCCTTAGAGTTTGTTTAGAAGAGATTGGAAATTTCAGCACTGAAATCATCCAAATTATTCTAGTGAAGTTGTATGGAGTTTAAAAACACAGTGGGGCACTTTCTGACATCACAAGGTTGAACAGAGTGTTTTCCGTTTGAGAGAAGAACTCAGCCTAAATATGCAGGTTTGTGCGTTAAACGAGTGAATGAAACAAAACAAAACACAACTCCAGGTCTGTTTGTGATGAGGAAACAACATTATAACACAGATCAGAAAATAGTGTAATATGTTCCCTTTAAACAGGCAAGTACCATGAAGGGAGGAAGAAGAAGAGGAAGAGGAGAAGGAGGAGGAGGAGGAGGGGAGGAGACATGTACTGCAATGTCATGGTGCAGGGGAAACACAGAAAAGCATGAGAAGACACAAAGGAGGGGGATGACCAAGCAATCGAATCAAAAATTGCAATCTGAGTCGGCACAATTTTCAAGTCGCAAAGGCTGCAATAAAACGTCCTCTGCAATGAACTAAGTATTCTGTCTTTTTTTTACTCATACTTCACAGTGACATTGTGCCGGGGGTGTTCTACGCGGATCTCTACGGTGAAACTGTTCGGCGTCAAGTCTGATAACTTGAGAAAAACTACAAACTGGATTTAAACAGCACATTTTCAGGAGCCTGTGATCATTTCGAGCGATCATGGTTCTGTTTAGGAGTTAGATTTTCAACAAAAAAGTGAAAACCAGGTTCCCACGGTCATGGAAATCCTGGAAAAGTCCTGGACAGAGGTGGGGATTTGCAAGTCGTGACGTGGACTCGAGACAGACTTGAGTCACTATTTTTAAGGCTTGAGACTTGACTTGATAAAATGGACTAAGACTTGGGACTCGACTTGGACTTGAAGGTCAATAACTTAGGACTTGACTGGGACTTGAGGCCTGTGACTTGAGAAGCACTTTTAAATCTGAATTCTTTCTATTCTGACCGTAATGATTCACTCTAAGACCTTGTCAAGACATTTAAATAAATAAAAAGCACTAAATTAATTTCTACAACTCTTATATACTCTATAAATACTCATATATAAATATAGATTTTTTAAATACAATTTATCTTAAAATTCATATAAATTCCAAAAAATCTAAGCTATATTTGGTATTTTGGTTTAAAGACTTGAAATGACTTGAAGCTCAAAGCAGACGACTTGGACTTGACTTGGACTTATGGGCCAGTGACTTGAGACTCAACTTGGACTTGCCTGTATTTGACTTGGGACTTGACTCGGACTTGAGGTCACAGACATGAGACTTCCTTGAGTCTTGCAAAACAATGACTTGGTCCCACTTCTGGTCATGGAAATTGAAAATGTCATTTTCAAGTCTCAGAATTTTGTAAATTCAATGAAAGTTTTGGAAAAGTCATGGGATTTTATTATGTCTTTCACGCAGTTACATCGTTTTGTTAAGTTATAATGAGGCTATTATGATTTATTTCTGAACGTCTGTGCCTTTTTGTTTAGAAGAGACGACAATAACACAGATCTGACCTGTAACTTGGTCTAGTTTGGTCTGCATGAAAATAGAAAGGTTTAAGTCCACCAGAAAAGTAACACATCGCACTGTTAATTAATTAATTAATTAAGTAATTATTTACTTTAGGTATTACTTCAACCACTACTATTAATACTTTACTATAACTAATACTAGAACACTGTAACTTCACCCACACTTTATGCTCAAATTTAAAATTGAAAGCATGTATGAATAGTTCTGAATGGCGACTAAATGAAGGACTTGGGGTGGTAGACAGTGAGTTGATGAATAAATGAAGAAGAGTGTGGACAGAAGCAGATGGACGGACAGAGGGATGGAGGGACGGAGGGACGGACGAGACAAGGTCAAAACCACAGCAGAAGTCAACACCAGCCGCAGAGTTAAAGTGCACATGACAGGTTAGACCACTCAGTTCACTAAAACTATGTTTTATGTTTAAAACTAGTGATTAGTGAACTGGGACTTTTTACAGAAACAAAACCACATGGCTAATTTGCATAAACTCAAAACAGCTCGCTCCTTGTGTTTCTGATGCAGCTTCTGTCGGACTAAAGGACACGACTCAGTGGAATATGAGTGTTCTTTCTGTGACAGAGGGGTGTTCTGCTGATGGTGAGTCTGTTCTGTGCTTCTGTCGCGTTGGAGATGGTTCATGTTAAACTTTTCAGAGATTATACGTCTGCAGGTCGTACACACAGACCGTTTATATGAATGGACATATATTCTAGCCTCTTAGTGTGTTGGCGGTGAATTACTTCGCGGCGCAAAGACCAACATCAGTGTATCAGTGTTTTCAGGAGTCCACACAGTGCTGGATCAGATCTGTACTCGGATGAATTGGTGGGAGCTGGCGGCACCAGATGGTTCCGTCTCTGGAGCCGTTTTTAATCGGATAAGTATGGTTGAACACTGCATCCACAACGAAAACGACTCGAATATGTACTAGTGTGGACGGGGCCTCAGACAGAGCAGTGCCTACAGTTGGCACCACACCCCCAGGGAACGTTGATGACATCAGCTGCAAAGTATCAACAGAGCAATTCCTGTACTTTTCTTTCACAACTTTTCTAAATATTTACCACAAAACAAAAAAAAAAATCAACCAAAGTAATAATTATAAGACCTGAAAACCTGTCATGTGCACTTTAAAACCGTCCAAAATCAACCCAATAACAGCTCGTGTCCAGTGTCCAATTGCAAAGTCACAGATCTGCAGCGTTTTGATATTTTCTGAGCGAAACCTGATCTGGAAACTCAAACCGTTTTGCTAAATAAACAAAAGCTCCGATGCCCTCAGACTGTACTGGAAATAACCTTTGCTTATGTCACTGTGGGAGCGGCCAAAAGGGAAGAAGACGATGTCAAAATAAGAGTCTAGTCACCAGGGTTAAAACAGAATACAACTCCGCTTTTTGGCAAAAAATTGGCAAAAATATCTGTTAAAACTCACTAAGTTTACATGCAGGTCAAAGAACTGAATAAACACAACTGGGGAGCTACGAGACGTTCAGTTGCGTCTCATAATTTGGCATCAGCACAAAAATTTTGAAGCTATAATTGCTAAAAAAGCAGCTATCATACGTATAAAAACAGTTTTGGCAGGCATACTTAAGTGACATCGCATTTACTTTGATAATTTGATCTTTAAATTTCAGTTTCCGAGTTTACAAGTGTTTGATAAATCGGTTTAAATTTGGGTTGTTTAGTTAAAAGGGATGGGACGAGACACAGTTTCCAGGACATGAAACGAGATACGAGATTTCAACACAATTCCTAAATATTTCCAATTTTGGCTTGACAATTTTCTAATTATTTGATTTCATATTTTTGTTTTTGTTCTTGTGCTGCTTTTTGGAACTGTAAGAGAAGTAACTCAGCAAATATTAAAGTTTTTTCGCCCAATCCAAATGTAAACACTTGCGAAAAAAATCTCACAAGATAATTTTTATCATTTGTGCACGATTTTGTGGCGTTTTGTCTCACGAGGTCTTATACCATCGCTACTAGTAAGTGTTTTTTCCTGGCGTGCATGTAAAATTAGTGCCCGTAAAAAAAGGCTCCAACGATCTGAAAGTGAAACATTTTAGACACTCAGAGTTTGTGCTTGGATCCACCACTGTACATGTAAATCTTGTGTACAATTTCGTTAATATCCAACTTAAAACTAAAAACCTCAATCAGCAATTTGCTATGTGATCAAAAATTCAAAATCCTGTACATGTAATAAAATAATATTGGCAAATATTGGCATGAAGTTAGAAGAAACTGGGTATAGTGTTCTCTGTTAACTAAACAAACTAATAATGACAATATTTAGGCCATAAAGCTGCATCAAATAAACCTACATTAACATTAAAATAAAAATGATGAATATAATAAATAAATAATACAATAAAATTTGAACCTAAAATAAAATAAATAATAATAAATACATTTGATTAAATTAAAACATATCAAAACCCCTCCCTCTTCTACACATGTAAGAAAATTCAAACAGTGACACATTTACACAACATTTCTGATTACAAAACTACATCTACTAACTAATACAAAAGCATAAGTAATATGTTTTGTCAATATCCCCCACATTTTTACCATAGTTTGTCCCGTACACACATATTAAAGATGTAAACGTGTGTGTGTGTTTGTGTGTGTGTGTTACCCTGGTGCTGTAGCTGGTCCAGGTCCAGGTACTTGCTGGGTTTGGGGTTGAATCCCCGAGCGGCTTCTCTCTCTGCTTCTCTGCGTCTCTGCTGCTCCTGCTGCCGCGCCCGCCTCACGACCTCCTCCTGCAGTTCATCCAGCTCACTGCGCCCTGGGCCTGAGACACAAACACAGGTGAAGCTCCTCTGCGGTTTTAAAGATTCACTGTGTAACCTTTGAATGTGCTGACTCAGTACCTGTGTTGGTGGTGTGTGTTCAGTACCTGTGCTGGTGGTGTGTGTGTGTTCAGTACCTGTGCTGGTGGTGTGTGTGTGTTCAGTACCTGTGCTGGTGTGTGTGTGTGTTCAGTACCTGTGTTGGTGGTGTGTGTGTGTGTTTCAGTACCTGTGCTGGTGGTGTGTGTGTGTTCAGTACCTGTGCTGGTGGTGTGTGTGTGTTCAGTACCTGTGTTGGTGGTGTGTTTGTGTGTTCAGTACCTGTGCTGGTGGTGTGTGTTCAGTACCTGTGCTGCTGGTGTGTGTGTGTCCAGTACCTGTGCTGGTGGTGTGTGTGTGTTCAGTACCTGTGCTGGTGTGTGTGTGTTCAGTACCTGTGCTGGTGGTGTGTTTGTGTGTTCAGTACCTGTGTTGGTGGGTTGTGTGTTCAGTACCTGTGTTGGTGGTGTGTTTGTGTGTTCAGTACCTGTGCTGGTGGTGTGTGTGTGTGTTCAGTACCTGTGCTGGTGGTGTGTGTGTGTTCAGTACCTGTGTGGTGTGGTGTGTGTGTGTTTCAGTACCTGTGCTGGTGGTGTGTGTGTGTTCAGTACCTGTGCTGGTGGTGTGTGTGTGTTCAGTACCTGTGTGGTGTGTGTTTGTGTGTTCAGTACCTGTGCTGGTGGTGTGTTTGTGTGTTCAGTACCTGTGCTGGTGGTGTGTGTGTGTGTTCAGTACCTGTGCTGGTGGTGTGTTTGTGTGTCAGTACCTGTGTTGGTGTGTGTGTGTGTGTTCAGTACTTGTGCTGGTGGTGTGTGTGTGTGTTCAGTACCTGTGCTGGTGGTGTGTTTGTGTGTTCAGTACCTGTGTGGTGGTGTGTGTTCTACTGTGCTGGTGTGTGTGTGTGTTCAGTACCTGTGCTGGTGGTGTGTGTGTGTTCAGTACCTGTGCTGGTGGTGTGTTTGTGTGTTCAGTACCTGTGCTGGTGGTGTGTTTGTGTGTTCAGTACCTGTGCTGGTGGTGTGTGTGTGTTCAGTACCTGTGCTGGTGGTGTGTGTGTGTTCAGTACCTGTGCTGGTGGTGTGTGTTCAGTACCTGTGTTGGTGGTGTGTGTGTGTGTTCAGTACCTGTGCTGGTGGTGTGTGTGTGTTCAGTACCTGTGCTGGTGTGTGTGTGTGTGTTCAGTACCTGTGCTGGTGTGTGTGTGTTCAGTACCTGTGTTGGTGGTGTGTGTTCAGTACCTGTGCTGGTGGTGTGTGTGTGTTCAGTACTTGTGCTGGTGTGTGTGTGTGTTCAGTACCTGTGCTGGTGGTGTGTGTGTGTTCAGTACCTGTGTGGTGTGTGTGTGTGTTCAGTACCTGTGCTGGTGGTGTGTTTGTGTGTTCAGTACCTGTGCTGTGGTGTGTGTGTGTTCAGTACCTGTGCTGGTGGTGTGTGTGTGTTCAGTACCTGTGCTGTGTGTGTGTGGTGGTGTGTGTGTGTTCAGTACCTGTGCTGGTGGTGTGTGTTCAGTACCTGTGTGTGTGTGTGTGTGTTGTGTGTGTGTGTGTTCAGTACCTGTGCTGGTGGTGTGTGTGTGTTCAGTACCTGTGCTGGTGGTGTGTGTTCAGTACCTGTGCTGGTGGTGTGTGTGTGTTCAGTACCTCTGCTGGTGGTGTGTGTGTTCAGTACCTGTGTTGGTGGTGTGTGTGTGTTCAGTACCTGTGCTGGTGGTGTGTGTGTGTGTTCAGTACCTGTGCTGGTGGTGTGTGTGTTCAGTACCTGTGTGGTGGTGTGTGTTCAGTACCTGTGCTGGTGGTGTGTGTGTGTTCAGTACCTGTGCTGGTGGTGTGTGTGTGTTCAGTACCTGTGCTGGTGGTGTGTGTGTGTTCAGTACCTGTGTGGGGCAGTGCGCTGCCGTCTCGAGGCGACTCTTGTAAAATGGCGCCGCTGCTTTTGGACTTTGGCACCGATCTCCACGAAGGTCCAGACATGAGAGCGCGCTTCTGCTGACCCACCTCCCTGTCACGACCAACAGGAAACACACAGACATTTAAGCTCTTTCATATAAACCCCACAATTCTATTATTAATAATAATTAATACTACTTTGCTTATATTTATCAGAATTAGTAACCTGTAGGGATGTAATGATATTCAAATCTCTCGGTACGATATTACCACGATATCCATCTCACGGTATGATATTTATTGTGATATTTTGAAGAGGCTGATATAATTGTAGATAAGACACTTTTTTGTTTTTACAACACCTTGACAGGATTTTGGTGTGAATTATTTCCATCATAATCCCAAGAATTCAAGTAAAAACATGTTTCTTCATGTTGTCTGCGCTGAAATGAATCATGGGATATGTTAGTTTTTTGATGTTCATAAACTGTTGCTACTATAAAACCATGAATTTAAGCAAAAGAACTTGTGATTCGATATATTGTGACAGTCCACGATATTATTGTGAGACTTTTGACGAAACGATATCACAATATTTTGGTTATTGTTACATCCCTAGTACCACACTAATGCCAGATGGATATGTTTGTCACTCTGAAGTGAGTTCTACACATTTTAATCCGGAACAGCTCTCACTGGAAGCGAGTGCGAAAAGCAGAAATGTCATAATGAATACTTGATTCAGATTGGTTAAAGCATCACAACAGCAGAACAAGACAAGGATTCAAAAGCACATAGCGTTTGTTTTGGTTCACAGTGCTGATATATGATTGATCTAAACCCCCGATGACAAGGGACCAATCACAACATGGAGCCAGTCCACATGGATTCTCAGGAACTCACTAATATCGTGAGAATATTCACGCTTAAAGGTTGTATAGAGGATTTTTTTAAGGGAAGAGAAATACAGTGACAGTCCTTGTGCGCATTCAGAATTACTGTTGAAGTTTCCTGTCTAGAAGTAATTCAGCGACCGACGCGTCAGTTTTTAGACCCTTCGTCTGCTTCGGTCGCGCCATCGCTGGACGAGATCTCCAAGAATCACCTCAGTTTGGCTTTGCTCCTTTTCCTCTTCTCTTCTTCTTTCAGCGACCTCAAAAACGGACTTTCTTTTGCGGCGAACCGGTCGTGGATTCTCGTCCGCCGTCGCGACAAACTTTGTGCGAAATGCGAGGAAGCGACAGTTCGAAAAATGCCTCTAAGAACCGCTGCGTAAACTACGTAATCCCCGCGCTCCGACGAGTCAGTTATACTAGGGAGTTTGATTGACAACCCAACAGCCAATAGAAAATGAGGGAGCCTCGTTTTCTATTGGCTGATGTTTATCTGGCCTCAACACGTCCACAGTTGATAGATTTTTTTTTTTTTTTTTTGGTCATCATAATTAAAAAGCTGCTGCGTCTCTGTAATGGTATTTTAATCTTTCACTGACAGTTTGAAACTAAAAAAAATCCTCCATACAACCTTTAAGTCACAAACCAGGACATTTGAAAAGACACAATTACAACTTCCCACATCCAGTTTTCCTCATCTACATGTCATTGTAGTGTTCCTTTATGTTCGGCTAATCAACAATTACAACCATACCTCAGTTTTTCTTCATTTCCCCACTGACACACGACTCCCAAGTGCATGATTCCAAACAGGACATACGTCTGCAGTCTTCATTTTACCGCTGATCACATTTCCTTCAGTGGGTTTGATCACAGGCAGTTGGCGATCCCAGTGTCGGAAACTACACCAGAAGCTGTCATTGCATGTTTCCAAACGTCTTCCTGGTTTGTGACGTAAGCGTTTATTGATCTAGCTGACGAGGTTAGCACAGAGTAGTATTATAACAAAATATGACCAATTAAATGTTCATAATATGGGCCCTTTAAATAACTATTTCCCAGCAGTACTGCAGTTTTAAAGTGAATGACGCACCGTGCAAAGTAAATCAAAGTTGCTTCTCACCGGTCGGGGCTGGTGCTGTTCCTCTCACTGCTCTCGTAGCCGCTCTCCATCCTCTGTATGAGGCGGGGCTGGTGGTCCGCTCCTCGGGGCAGGGGCGGAGCGGCCGGGGGTCCCATGGCCTCCTCCCTGCCCTCTGCCTCTGCCGCCCCCTGCTGCAGAGGAGGAGGGGGAGCAGGGCCGGGCACGGGAACGAAAGAGTCCTGGAGCTCTGGAGGTAGAGGGGGCACTGGCGGAGCGCTGTAGCCCACGCACGAGCCCTTCTGCCGGGTGAAGATGCTGTCGATGTTCAGGGCCTCTCTCCGGGGCCTCCAGGTCGGCCGGTAACGACTTCCAGAAGAACTGCACAAATTCAAAGTGAGGTTTAAATATTTGTTTTGGAAGTACAATTATGTATATTGTATTTCAATTTGAAGTGATAGTGTGTAACTTTCTGAAGTCGACTGCGTGATTCCATGGAAATAGAAACAGACAGAGTTTTATGCCATACTGTGGAAATTATATCCATATCTACAAACATACTATGGCTTTAAAGTGGAACTAAATTGAGTGCAATTGCAATTTCAAGGACTGTATTTTTCGGACTATAAGTGGCTCTGGAGTATAAGTCGCACCAGCCAAAAAATGCATAATGAAGAAAAACAAAACAAATATAAGTCGCACTTTTGGGGGAAATGTATTTTATAAAATCAGAGACCAGGAACCGATATTTCATCTTGAGCCTTAACCCTATTAACAATAGAACAGAGAAGAACAGACTGTTAACGTCACATATGAACAGTTCTTCAGATAATTATAACATAAACAACAGAACAGAACAAGTTTAACAAACTCTCCATCTCACTCCAAATCACTAAATCCATTCAATTCTTCATCCTCGGTGTCACTTCTGAGCAACTCCACGACCTCCGGAGGTAAACAGAGCGCTGCTTCCTCTTCTGTGTCGCTGTCGTCAGACTCAGCATCAGTTCCAGTTAGAATTATTCCGGCCTTTCTGAATCTCGACAGGATGGTTTCAGTGTCACTGAAGTCCAGACTTTATCGATCCATCCAGTGACTTCCAGGAAAGTTTTATGGTGCATCCTCCCGGTGTCAACAGTTTCTCACTCCAAAGTTTCTTTCTGCTGCTCGATTACCGTTTTCAGCTGCATATTTCACTACTTGCAGCTTGTAATCTCCACAGTATGATTTTCTTTTGGGGGGAATGTGTGTTCAGTCTTCTCAGTGTCTTTATAAGTTTGTTTAAATGTAAAATTTTCAGTGGTGCAGAAGTAATGGTGACTGGTCGAATGGCATGATACAGACATGACAGAGGCTCTTTCTGCAGGAGACATGAGCAGTAGAGCCAAGTGACAGTGGTACAGGAGGAACAGGAGCAGCAGATACTGACACACAAGACTAGAACATATACACATATATAAGTATCACAGGAGTACAAGTCGCAGGAAACTCCCAAACCATGAAAAAAGTGCGACCTATAGTCCAAAAAATATGGTACTTTTATTTGATATATTTATTGTTAGAGCAGTACAATTAATCACATGTTAATCACATTTTAAGAGAGTTTCAGTCATTTCTAGTCTTCAATGATCAACTTGGGTCTTTTAATTGAGAGATCTACAGCCAATCTTCTATCACACAGGTGTCAAACATAAGGCCCGGGGGCCGGATCTGGCCCTCCAAGACCTTTAATGTGGCCCTCGGCTGATTTTCTACTAAAATATTTTAATTATATTTTCTATTAAAATATTGGTAATTTTCTGCATCGCTGAGCATAACAGTGTCTCCAGCGTCTCTGTACGTGGCCCCTCCCACCAGAGCAGCACAAATGAAGACTTGTCTCTTTCCAAACGCTCTTAAAGGACGATCGTTTTGACTGTTGACCGTGACACCCTCATCAGAAAAATGTCCAACATGAGAAAAGTGGAGCCGAGTGCAGGATTTTCCAAGAAAAATTGACTTATTCCTATTTGCATACAAGTTCATGTTAAAACATTGTGTTGAAATTGCATTTTTCTTAAAGTTTCAGGTTGTTCATAATATTATAATATTTTGTAAAAGAAACAGTTCATCAGTTAAAAAATATTTCTGTAATAGATTTGTGTTTCTCTGCACAAATATTTGAACTTATTGCTGTTTTTAGGGTATATATGCCATGAGTTTTCTGATCCGGCCCCTTTGGGATCAAAGTAGGTTGGATTCGGCCCCCGGACCAAAATGAGTTTGACACCCCTGTTCTATCAGTACAAGAATGTAGTTAGGAGGAAGAAATCTGAGCTTTATTTTTGTTAAAAGTGCGTTGTGTAACTTTTCTTTTCTTTAACTTTTGTATGATATAAGACCTTTAATATCATCCATATACGTGTGCCCAGTTACCAGCGGGTTAGTTGTTCCATTCCCACTTCAAAACAAAACCACAATTCCACACTGCTATAACACTGCTACTCCTACCAGTGATAATCTTATACACACAGTAAATTACCCATGTTCGTGTACTTATATTGAAGAAAAATGTTCTTGAGAAATTGGACAAACATGCGCGTTGTTGAAATATTAAAGAGAGTATAATACAGGCTTTGCGTATGTCATAATTAACCTCTTAGCATGCATTACTAAAGCTGAACCCCATTCAATATGTATGAGGAAACTGTATGCAATATTAAAATTATAAACACGAGCAAATGACATCAATTATAAAATGAGATCTAGATCCCTCTGAGTGTAATTATAGCTAAGTGCACGTACGGGCTGCACAGAATGAGAAAACTTGCCTCGAGAATATTTAAATACGGCGTTTAGTTAATGTAAAGTGGGACTAAAACACAGAAACTCCACCCACAACCAACTATTTCAAACAGAGCTGCACCTGGAGGAGAAGACGAAGACAAGGGGCGGGGTTTGGAGATATAAGAACACTGTGATTGATCGAACATTTCAAACTCTGTCATCAGAAACATCTGTAATCAAGGAAGTCTTCTGTGATGTTATGTAGTACTGTATTTTTCAGACTATAGGTCGCAGTTTTTTCATGGTTTGGGAGTTTCCTGCGACTTATACTCCGGTGCAACTTATATATGTGTATATGTTCTAGTCTTGTGTGTGAGTATCTGCTGCTCCTGTTCTTCCTGTACCACTGTCACTTGGCTCTACTGCTCATGTCTCCTGCAGAAAGAGCCTCTGTTCTGTCTGTTTCATGTCATTCGACCAGTCACCATTACTTCTGTACCAACTGAAACAAACTTATGAAGACAATGGAGAAGAAATGCCCCCAAAAAGAAAATCATATTTTGCAGATTACAAGCTGCAAGCAGCTGAAAACGATAATTGAGCAACAGAAAGAAAGTTTGGAGTGAGAGAGAAACTTGTGACACTTGGAGGATGCACCATGAAACTTTCCTCAAGTCACCGGATGGATGGACAAAGCCTGGACTTCGGTGACACCGAAACCATCCTGTCGAGATTCAGAAAGGCCAGAATAATTCTAACTGGAACTGATGCTGAGTCTGACGACAGCGACACAGAAGAGGAAGCGGCGCTCTGTTTACCTCCAGAGGTCGTGGAGTTGCTCAGAAGTGACACCGAGGACGAAGAATTGAATGGATTTAGTGATTTGGAGTGAGATGGAGAGTTTGTTAAACTTGTTCTGTTCTGTTGTTTATGTTTTAGTTTATCTGAAGAACTGTTCATATGTGACATTAACAGTCTGTTGTTCTGTTCTATTGTTTTTACTAGAACATGACTTTTAAGATGAAATGTCGGTTCCTGGTCTCTGATTTTATAAAAATTAATTTCCCCCTAAAAGTGTGACTTATAGTCCAGTGAGACTTATATGTTTTTTTCTTCTTCATTACGGATTTTTTGGCTGATGTGACTTATACTCTGGAGCAACTAATAGTCCGAAAAATACCATAATAACATTTTAATTAAACAAAAATAAGAGCAGTGCAGTACCTGGACTTGCTCTCACTGCTGGTGCTGTCATCCTCCCAGTGCGGCCCCCCAGCCCCTCCCTCGCAGCCCCCGACTCCGGACGAGGAAGAGGAGGAGAGAGGGCGCGAGGAAGAGGAGGAGGAGAGAGGACGAGAGGAAGAGGAGGAGGAGAGCGGGCGAGAGGAGGACGAGGAAGAGGTGTTTGGTCTCCGCGAGGACAGCAGGTAGACCGCTGTCTCTTTGTACTCGCCCAGAGGAGGAGAGGGAGGCCGCCCCGGACCCTCCACCGCTGAGCCTGTAGGGGGCAGAGCAGAGCAACTGTGAGGCAAGGGGAATAAAACAGATCATGAGGGCAAAAGAAGACTTTATTTGAATGATATTGTTGAAAGCGTACAGTTTACTCTTTGTCCAGCAGCGCTTTCAAGTCCGTGTATCACTCGTTCATTAGTTTTTCAAAATAAAACCAGGAGGACTAAATCAGGACTGAACTAGGACTAAAACAGGACTAAACCAGAACTGAACCAGGACTGAGTGTTGGGACGGGCCCAGAGGGGAGGACCCATGGAGCCAAGCGCAGTTGTTGCCCGATCACGCTTTGCAGACACCCTCCACGGGCTCAGGATTCTCCCTCTCTCAAGTCCAAGATTAGTCCTAGTTTAGTTCTGGTGTAGTCCTGGTTTAGACTTGGTTTAGTCCTGGTTCAGTCTTGGTTCAGTCCATATGCGGCGCAAAAGTCCGGCATCGCAGTTTAAGGGGAAACGGCCATTATCCTTTTTTTTTTTTTTTCAATTATTCATTTAAACACACAATCGAAAACTGCAAAAAAATTATCGTTATCTGTTTTTTTCATGTTGGTTTTGGAGACAAATAATGAAGAAAATAGTTGTTTTTTCGTTTTCTTATTTTTGGTTTTATTTTGAAAAACAAATGAACGAATGATACACGGATCCAGTTTGTTTTTGTGCAATAAAAATATGATTCCAAACCTTCTTGAGGAAAAAAAACTTAACTATACTGGTATTAATAATGTGTAGATATTGGCATAGAAAAAGCAAAAAAAAAAAGTTCAAAACTAAGAAATAAAATACATATCACATTTAAAAAACTCATACTGCACAGAGACACAATCATAAAAACAATATAACTAAATGAATGTCCGGTTTAATCTCACAATCCAACCCGCAGTTCTACCATGAGCCTGTAGGGGGCAGAGCAGATGCTGTGGGTTTCAATAGTGTCATAGTATTTGAAACCGGTCTTGGTCTCGAGACGGCCTTGAGACAGTTTTTTTGTGGTGTGGGTTTCGTCTCGGTGTTGTCTCGGTCTTAAAAGCACTTGGACTGTGTCTTGTCTTGGTCTTGAAGGTGCTTGGACTCGATCTAGTCTCAGTCTTGAAGTCACTTGGTCTTGTTTTGGTTTTAATGGCGCTTGGACTTGATCTTGAGGGCACTTGGAATCGGTCTGGTCTCGGTCTTGAAGGCATTTAGACCTGGTCTGGTCTTCGTCTTGAAGGCCCTTGGACTTGGTCTTGTCTCAGTCCTGAAGGCATTTGGACTCAAATTTGTCTCGATCTTGAAGGCATTTGGACTCTGTCTTGTCTCGATCTTGAAGGTGTTTGGACTCTGTCTTGTCTCGGTCTTGAAGGCGCGTGGACTCTGTCTTGTCTCGATCTTGAAGGCGTTTGGACTCTGTCTTGTCTCGATCTTGAAGGAGTTTGGACTTGGTCTTGTCTAAATCTTGAAAGTGCTTGAACTGGGTCTTGTCTGAGTCTTGAGGTCGGACCCTCGACAAGTGATAAAATGGAGATAGATTTCTAAAAACATTGACATATATACACCAAAATAACTGTAAAATAGAAATAAATGTCTAAAATGATCTGGATGGGCCTTGGTCCTGGTCTTGTCTTAGTCTCGGGCCTTTAAAAAGTCTTGGTCTTGTCTCGGTCTCAACCCTTAGAGGTCTTGATCTTGTCAGACTGGTCTTGATTAATGTGGTCTTAACTAAAACACTTAGTTTGTCTTAGTTTAGGTCTCGTCTTGTCCTGGTTTAGTCCAAGTTTATTTCCGGTATTTCCCGCATTTGCATGATCCGTTTTCAATCAACTTTACACTTGAGTTGGTCTTACCTACTTTGGTTCTAGTTCAGTCCTGGTTTAGTCTTCGTTTTGGTCCTGGTTTAGCCCTAGTTTATAATCCTGACATAGTCCGCAGTCCTCACAGACACATTTTTTGAACAACGTGAAATAACAAGGCAAAAATGCTCCAAGATCGTTTACAAATGAAGCATAATAACTTTAAATGTCATATAAAAGTATTAAAAGCATTTGGAGAGAAGCCGTTAAACCAGGTGCAGCTGCCCATTACTGTAAGACACACCAGTATTTTAAAAGCAAATATTTGCAGAGGTAGTACTGCATAGGGGCTTTTATTTATCCCTTTGGGGGCAATTAGACAGCGGGCAGCGGTGCAGATGAATAGGAGATAGACCACTAACGAGGAGAGGGGTGGACCTGACGAGGAGGAGGGCGCTGCAGGAGGAAGAGGAAGAGGGAAAAGAGAGGGTACAGAAGTGGAAGAGGAGGGTATAGAGGAGGAAGAGGAGGGAAAAGAGGAAAAAGAGAGAGTACAGAGGAGGAAAAGGAGGGAAACGAGATGGTACGGAGGAGGAAAAAGCGGAAGCAGAGAGGTACAGAGGAGAAAGTGGAGGAAAAAAGAGGAAAAAGAGAGGGTACAGAGGAGGAAGAGGAGGGAAAAGAGAGGGTACAGAGGAAGAAAAAGAGGAAATAGAGAAGGTACAGAGGAGGGAAAAGGAGGGAAAAGAGAGGAGGAAGGACGAAGAGGTGTAGATAAGGTAGAGGAAGAAGAGGAGGGTACAGAGGAGGGAAAAAGAGGTAGACATGAAAGAGGAGGAAGGAGGAAGCGATGTAGATGAGGTAGAGGAAGAAGAGGAGGGTACAGAGGAGGAAGAGGAGGAAGGAAGGAGAAAGCGGAGGGTACAGAGGAGGAAGAGGAGGTAGAGAAGGACGAGGAGGAAGGCGGAAGAGGTGTAGATGAGGTAGAGGAAGAAGCGGAGGGTACAGAGGAGGAAGAGAAGTGTAAAGGAGAAAGGCAAGGGTACAGAGGAGGAAGAGGAGGTAAAAGAGGAAAAAGAGAGAGTACAGAGGAGGGAAAAGAGGAAAAAGAGAGGGTACGGAGGAGGAAAAAGCGGAAGGGAGGGTACAGAGGAGAAAGTGGAGGAAAAAAGAGGAAAAAGAGAGGGTACAGAGGAAGAAAAAGAGGAAAAACAGAGGGTACATAAGAGGAAGAGGAAGGAAAAAGAGGAAATAGAGAAGGTACAGAGGAGGGAAAAGGAGGGAAAAGAGAGGAGGAAGGACGAAGAGGTGTAGATAAGGTAGAGGAAGAAGAGGAGGGTACAGAGGAGGAAGAGAAGTGTAGAGGAGAAAAGAGAGGGTACAGAGGAGGAAGAGGAGGAAAAGAGAGGGTACAGAGGAGGAAAAAAGAGGTAGACATGAAAGAGGAGGAAGGAGGAAGCGATGTAGATGAGGTAGAGGAAGAAGCGGAGGGTACAGAGGAGGAGAGGAGGAAGGAAGGAGAAAGCGGAGGGTACAGAGGAGGAGGAGAGGAGGTAGAGAAGGACGAGGAGGAAGGCGGAAGAGGTGTAGATGAGGTAGAGGAAGAAGCGGAGGGTACAGAGGAGGAAGAGAAGTGTAAAGGAGAAAGGCAAGGGTACAGAGGAGGAGGTGAAGGAGGATGTAAAGTAGGAAGAGGAGGATGAAGGAGGCAGAGGAGGGAGAAGAGGAAGAGAAGGGTAAAGAAGGAGTGTAGGAGGTAGAGGAGGGAAAAGGGGAAGGAGAGGAGATAGAGAAGAGTAGAGGAGGAAGAGGAGAGTAAAGAGGAAATGTAGAGGAGGAGGAGAGGAGGAGGAAGGAGGAGGAAGGAGAGGAAGAGGAGGAGGAGGAAGGAGAGGAAGAGGAGGAGAGGAAGGAGAGGAAGAGGAGGAGGAGGAAGGAGAGAGGCTGCAGAAAGTTGGACATCGACTTTTGCTTGTTCACCACCAACAAGTGCCGCAGCGTATTCCCCTGGCTCACTGCGGCCGAGGAGCTGCTAAAGTGGTTACTGTAAATGAATGCAATAACTCTGCATTTGGGTTCAATGCAGCAAAACCCACAGAGGTGTGAACACTACAGAACCACAGAACCACAGAGGTGTGAACACTACAGAGTGTGAACACTACAGAACCACAGAACCACAGAGGTGTGAACACTACAGAACCACAGAGTGTGTACAGAACACACTACAGAACCACAGAACCACAGAGGTGTGAACACTACAGAACCCACAGAACCACAGAGGTGTGAACACTACAGAACCACAGAGGTGTGAACAGTACAGAACCCACAGAACCACAGAGGTGTGAACACTACAGAACCCACAGAACCACAGAGGTGTGAACAGTACAGAACCACAGAACCACAGAGGTGTGAACACTACAGAACCACAGAGGTGTGAACAGTACAGAACCACAGAACCACAGAGGTGTGAACACTACAGAACCCACAGAACCACAGAGGTGTGAACAGTACAGAACCCACAGAACCACAGAGGTGTGAACACTACAGAACCCACAGAGAACCACAGAGGTGTGACAGAACACAGTACAGAACGAACCACAGAACCACAGAGGTGAACACTACAGAACACTACAGAACCCACAAAATCACAGAGGTGTGAACACTACGTAACTACAGAACCCACAGATTGTGTGAACAGTACAGAACCACAGAACACAGAGGTGTGAACAGAACAGTACAGAACCACAGAACCACAGAGGTGTGACAACAGAACTACAGAACCACAGAGGTGTGAACACTACAGAACCACAGAACCACAGAGGTGTGAACACTACAGAACCCACAGAACCACAGAGGTGTGAACAGTACAGAACCTACAGAACCTACAGAGGTGTGAACGTTACCATGGCCTAGTGGCATCAACTGCGTATTTCCATGGAGTTAATAAAGTTTAATGTGACAGCATTCAGAGAACTCTCCACCAGAAAAGTTACACGGTGCACCTTTAAAGTTCCATATGATTTCTCAAAAAACAACTCTGTCCAACCTCATCAAAACAACAAATCATGAAGAGCACATTTTGTGATCGAAACATTGGCGAGAATATTGACCATTTCAGTCCATGTTAGATACTCATGCACGTGAACTGTACAGTAAAAGTGAAAAATGCACAGTGCACAGAGACGAACAATGTCCCAAAGCTTTCTTTAAATCTAGGAAAACGTTGCCGCAAAAGCCTTTGTCAGATCATTTCTTTCTTTGGAGCGAGACAGAACATGCTTTCACTTTAAAGTTGCTGCTGCCTGCATCTACACCTCTGCAACGACTCTGGTGTGTGTTTTCAGTTTCATTTGATGTTTACTGCACATGTCATTCTCAAATCTTTCACATTCAGTAGATCCAAAGAAAGTATTTAAAGTACTACCAGATCTAAACCAGGGCTAAAACAGAACTACACCACAATTACTGACCCGACATTAAAGAGACTGTACGTAAGATTTTGATTTTAAATTTCAAAAACCTGAGGTAAACAAATAAACACAGCTTTTACTGATAACAATTCTAATGTGGTTTTATTCTAAATTACAAAAACACCTACAGCACCTAAACCCCAGCACCTGCATCATGAGTCAGCGCTAGTGCAGCCTCTACAGCTCGGTGAATGAATTGGTCTCTCTGTACTGATATATTTGTATGTGTGTCCTCCGTTTTCAGACATAGGATATCGCTTTCGTGTCCTGAAAAACGTTTGTCTAGCTCTTGGAAATAAAGTAAGTTTTCATAATAAGCAGAAGTGTCCTGTCCAGGAGTAATTTGGCGACCAGTGTGTCAGTCTTTAGACCCTGCGTCTGCTTCAGTCGCGCCATCGCTGGAATGAATCTTCAAGAATCACTTAGTTTGGCTTCGCTGCTTTTCCCCTTGTCTTCTTCTTTCAGCGACCTCAAAAACTGACTTTCTTTTGCGGCGAACTGCTCCTGGATTCTTGTCGCCATTGCAACAAACTTTGTGCGAACTGCGAGGAAGATATAGGTCAAAAAAAGCCGCTAAGAACTGTTCGTTGGTGAGTAAACAGCATCTGTGCGCTTGCGTCTGTGGACTGCGTGACAGGCGTACGTAAACCACGTACCGGCGGCGCGCAGGCAAGTCAATTACACTAGAAACGTAGGGAGATTGATTGACAGCCTGTCAGCTAACAGATAACGAGGCAGTGTCGTTATCTATTGGCAAATGTTTAGCCCCACCACGTCCAGAGTCGATGAATTTTTATTCTCTTTTTTTTGGTCATCATAATTACAAGGCTACTGCACCTCTATAATCTATCATTGACAATTTGAAACAAAAAAAATCCTCCATACAACCTTTAAGACAGTCCGGTCGGCCTACCTCCAATGTCCGGGCCCTGCGTGGTCGTCCCAGCCTGGTAGTTGCACACCACAGTGGCCTGAGAGTCGGTGGACAGGTGCGACCCGGGCGACAGGTGCAGAGGGCGGGTGCGAGACGTCCTGTGACTGCTGCTGTCTGTGGACGAGTCTGTGCGAGTGTCCGAGGAGATGGAGGGCTCACGACCTGGAGGAGACGAGGGGTTTACAGATGAGATATGTAGAGTGTATTGCATTTGAAAGACTTAAAAACACACAAAATAACTTCTTGTTTCATTATTGTTTAAATCTACATTACACTAAAGTCCCATCATGTGTCAAAAAACAAAAATATACAATAAAAGCATGTTTGCCTTTTATGACCAGGCTCGTATCTCCACAAACCTGACTCTTATTTGGGCTGCATCATGATTCATTTCCCTGGAATCATGCAGGTGATGTACCAGATCCAGAAAGTTACATGGTGTTGCTTTAAAGATTCACTGGGTAACTTTTGGTCTGACCCTTGCAGTTGATGTTACCAAGTCAAGATAGAGGAGCTGCAACCCTGCTCACAGCAAGAGCGTTTTTTCCTGCGACTTATACTCTGGTGCGACTTATATATTAAACATTTTCACCCTGACGAGAGCCACGAGAGGCTCTAGTCTTGTGTGTCAGTATCTGCTGCTCCTGTTCCTCCTGTACCACTGTCACTTGGCTCTGCTGCACATGTCTCCTGCAGAAAGAGCCTCTGTCCTGCTGCAAGTAGCGAAACATGCAGCAGAAAATGGTAATCGAACAGCAGAAAGAAAGTTTGGAGTGAGTGAGAAACTTGTGAGGGACTGGTGGAAAGCGGGGATGGAGAACACGACTTCAGGGGAACCAGGCGGGTGCACCATGTAACTTTCCTGAAGTCACCGGATGGATCGACAAAGCCTGAATTTCAGTGACACTGAAAAACCATCCTGTCTGGATTCAGAAAGGTCAGAATAATTCTAACTGGAACTGATGCTGAGTCTGACGACAGCGACACAGAAGAGGAAGCGGCGCTCTGTTTACTTCCGGAGGTCGTGGAGTTGCTCAAAAGTGACAGAGGATGAAGAATTGAATGGATTTAGTGATTTGAAGTGAGATAGAGAGTTTGTTAAACTTGTTCTGTTCTGTTGTTTATGTTATAGTCGAGTTTCATTGTTGACAAAAGCGCGTGTTGCATGCTGGGAATTATTTTGGTCGGCGGCAAGAAACACTAATTCAACATGACGGACAAAGTGAGAAAGCGATTTGACCAGAAATTGGTCATAAGCATCGATGGAGCCAAATCACCCTTTTCAACCCCTACAAAAGGTGGACCAAACCAAATTTCTGGTCAGAATCGCCAACTACCTGGACAAATATTCACTTCTTTGATATCCACAATGACTTGGTGGAAACTCCTGGGCCATTCACAGCAGAAAAGATGAAAACCTCCAAGAGTCTCGATGTGTTGTTGAACTTGTTGGAGTCCACGGTTTGTTAGGATCTTCTACGTTTGCTCTGCGGATGTTTGAAAGACGTTTAATTCACTGTTAGCGGTTCTTTTCACTCAGAATACGAAAAAGACATTTTCCTTCTTCCGTGCTTCTATTTGTGCATCCGATAATGCAGCAGGAATTTACCATTATCGGGGATAAATACAGGAGGTTACGCACTGTGTTTGACGCTATCCTGTTTCTTGCCTCTGACCAAAATATTTCCCATCATGCAACGCGGGCTTTTAATAACAATGACGTCAGCTGAAACTCGCCTATAGTTATTTGAAGAACTGTTCATATGTGACGTGAACAGTCTGTTGTTCTCTCTTCTATTGTTGTTACTAGAACTTGACTTTCAAGATGAAACATCGGTTCCTGGTCTCTGATTTTATAAAACAAATTTCCCCCAAAAAGCGCAACTTATATATGTTTTTTTCTTCTTCGTTACACATTTTTTGGTTGGTGCGACTTATACTCAGGGGTGACTTATAGTCCAAAAAATATGGTATCTTCAGCTGCTTGTGTGTTTATAAAACCGTGTCTTAAATTAATTCAAGTGGCTTCTGTAGCCTCCTTCAGAACAGCTCCTGATCTGCATAAACTTGACCAACAATTTATTTAACATACGGCAAAGACAAGGTCCATCGATCCAGCCCCAAACTGCACTCACACACTCCATCATTTAAACAGTGATTACGCACCAAAAACCCCTGATAATTCAATGTTTAGTACGACAACAAGCACATGAAACACAATCTTGAGTTAACAAATATGCCACTACAGCAAGTTTAATCCACACGTTTCAGAAATCCTCCTCTTGACTGAAGTTCTATGCATTTTATTTTTACCTTTTCTTACTTACATATCATCTGATTAAATAAGAAGGAAAAACTAGACATCAGCATTTTTTATTTTAAAATTTTTTTCAGTAGCAAACGGGGATGTAAATAAAAACAAACTATGCCACTTAAGGGTGTGCATTGCCTTGAGTATGACGATACAATAAATATCTTGATATGCATGTCACGATTCGATATATCCTGATATATCCCAAAACTAAAATATAGGACAATATATTACGATTTATCAATGAGTATTTCTATTAATACAGTCAACTGCACCATCACGAGAACACACTTGTATGAAATATAATTTATAAAAATGCTTAAATCATCAGAACAGTGAATGTAAATAATGGATTTTTGTGAAAAATATTATTTTAAAAAATCGATTCGGATGCACTTTGAATCGATTTGAGAATTGTGCGTTGAAGTATCACAATATGTCACTGAATAGATTTTTTTCTTACAACCCTAATGCCACTATAAAATTACATAAAGTTTTCAGAGCATTTTTTACAAACATGTCCCACTGCCAAATTGAGTATCAAAATTGGTTACATTTACAAATGTGATATCTTGGTTTAGAAGTTTGAATAAATGTCTTTATAATAAAATTGCACAAATATTAAAAAAAACATATTACACTGTTTTCTAATCTATGTTATGTCGGGCGTACACTGCGATATTTTTGATTGTTTCACTCAGTCCCAGCTCAAACTGTACGACCACATCTCAGAGTTTCAAAGTTCACAGCTCAAGATTCATGTTCTCACACTATACGGACTATTTCAACAGAGCCAAACCCTCACGAGAGGCGACTGGATTTCAAACAGGTTGGATATTCTTGTGACCTACGACTGCCGATCAGGAGCTGGTCATGAGGTATTAATCGGTTTTCGTTACCCCATGTATTCTGCTCTACAAAGCCAGACACTGTAACGTCATGTTTGGTCAAAAATTTGTGAATGTCATTTTGGGGGTATTTGTGACCTCATTTATCATGTGAATAAATACTGAGAGCCAATTTGATTGGTTTAACGAGAAAATATGACAACCGTAACATCCACAGCTTTGAAACTTTGAAGTTATTTTCCTCAGTTTCACACTCTGGAGAGTTAAGGTCTCTTGCCTTTGTAGGCCAAAACTTGTGCGACTGTTTTTAGGATCGGGCCAAGTGAAAAATCAGCTCAAAAACGGCCAAAAATCGCACAGTGTAAGTCCGGCATTATAGTGTTACTTCCTCATCACAAACAGACCTGGAGTTGTGTTTTGCTTCATTCACACGTTTGAGTCTTTATTATTATTTAGTCTTTATTATTAAGTCTTTATTATTAAGTCTTTATTATCATTATTATTATTATTATTGTCTAAATCTCCGATGCTCAAAATGCTCTGTTCTACGTTGTGATGTCACAAAGCAACAAAGCAGTTTTCAAGTTAACCGCTCCTTTTGCCTTTTTGTTTCATAAATGTTGACAATTCCAGAGCTGAGATTATTATCCAAATGATTCTAGTGAAGGTGTGTGGAGTTTAAAAACACAGTGGAGCACTTCCTGTATTATCACATGACATCATAAGGTGGGACAGAGTGTTTTGAGAGAAGAACTCAGCCTAAATATGCAGGTTTGTGTGTTAAACTTGTGTGAATGAAACAAAACACAACTCCAGGTCTGTTTGTGACGAAGAAACATAACATCGATCAGTGAATAGTGTAATAAGGGCCCTTTAATAATTATATCTTAGTTAAGTAGTTCTGACTAGTTAAGAGAGTTAGTTAAAACTTTTCTCACTTACACTCTATACCTGACTACACAACTGTACCGCTGCAAAGTACCTTCCAGTTTTCAGAAAAAGCGTGTACAAAAATAGCCCGAGGAGCCGGAGTCTAAAAGTGTAGCGCGGCGCCGTTCGCAGTACCTGAGTCTTCACTGTCGTATCCGGCCTTGGTGCTGACGTGGAGCTCCAGATGCGGGTTCGGGCTGAAGCAGGGGCTGGGGCTGTCCTGCAGTACCACCGGCGTCCCGCGGGGGTCAGCGTAGAGCAGCAGCAGAGGCTGGTAGTGGCCCTTTATGCAGCGAGACACGACGTCCTTCCACTTGGGCCCGATCTGGAGGAAGGATATTCAGACGGAAGTGTCAAACAATTAAAGACGCACTGTGTAACTTCTCGGCTGGGGTCTGTCACCTTCTTGTTTCTATGGATACGCCATTGCTCTGCCTGGAATGCTCCACAGTATGACATTAAACACTTTACATTTACTCAATTACAGGTGGTTTTATTGCTCAGAAATACCCAGAAAAACAACATTCTGACTGTGAGCGGGGGCGCCTCTCCACAGATCTGACCTGTGACTTGGTTAACGTTGGTCTCCATGAAGATAGGAAGGTTTAATGCCATACTGTGGAACATTCCAGACAAAGCAATAACATCTCGATGGAGAAAAGCATTTTCTGTTGTAACTTTTTCAACAGAAAAGTTTTACAGTGAACCTAGTGCCACCATTCAATTTCATTTCTGTCCAGCAACTAGGTCAGGAATTGGAATACACGCGACGATTTACGGAAATTGTAGACCGCGCACCGACCAATCAGTGAAGAGCTGTGAAGCCATGACGTCAAACTCAAGCGTCTGTCTGTGTCCCTTTTGTGGAACAGCACAACAGTAAACAAAGCGTCGAGATGGATGTAGACGAAGACAGACATTGTGTTGGTGACGATTCCCGAGATCGAGGATTTAAAGCCGGAAAAAATAGAATGTTTGTTAAATTTTATCAAGGTGAAAGACGTTATTGTCCTTCTTCCTAGGGAATTTGGCGCATTACATACGTCACGACCAAATAGCAGCGATTGGTTAAATAAAAAAAGTACCCGCATACCGTCAAGCGAACGAATCCTAATGCTGTGAGGTCAGACGGTTTCCACGGAGTGAAACCGGCTGATGAATCAAACTAACACAGTGCACCTTCGACAGTGAAAATAAACAGTTTTAGAGTTGTCACGATACTAAAATTTCAAACTTGATTTCGATACTAAAAGATTCAAGACTCAATAATGATTCTGATACCACAATGATAATAAAAACACTCTTTCTTTAGACAATGGAGCGTGATTTTCAACATTAAATCATAGTACATTCTTTTATATTCCCATGTGGTCTTATATTTGTGTAATCACTCAGTGGTCCATGGGTTTATACTGTGCTCTTATATTTGTTCTGATACAGCTCAAAATCATTCTAAAGCTTCAGGAAAGGTTCATTTCTGTCCTGTGGATGTGACTTTTTTAGTATCGATACCTGCTCAAATAAGGATCAAGTTTTGATGTTAGTTTTAGTGACGATTACTATCTGATTTTCAATACTTTTGACAACAACAGCTTGAAGGGACAGTCTGGAATTTTGGACATAGGACCTCATTTCCTAGTGATCCAGAGTGTTGGAGACGTGTGGAGACACTTTTTTAAATATTCCATCCAGTCCTTGTATTTACAGATGTCACTGGTGTTAGATTAGTGCATGTCAATGGTCATAGTTTATCCTGCCGCTAAAAACAGTCTTACCCACTCCACAAAACACCCGAAGAAAATCTATTTTTACACCAGACTGTCCGTGTGAATGTCTGTGTTGATAGAATAATGTTTGAAATAAAACTAACCTTTTGCGTCGCATGAATCGTCGCACGTTGAGGGACTATTTTCTCATATATCAGTCCGCCTCTGCCAAACTTTCTATCAGGAAGAACAACTCACTGCTGCTGCTCAGACATAAATCCTTCAAATGCAAGATTGGTTTTGCTTCTAAAATCATTCTACAGACACAGACATTTACATGGACTATATGTAATAATAGATTTTCTTCAGGTGTTTTGTGGAGTGGGTAAGACTGTTTTTAGCGGCAGGAAAACTATGACCATTGACATGCACTAGTCTAGCACCAGTGACCTCTGCAAATACAAGGACTGGATGGAATATTTAAAAAAGTGTCTCCACACGTCTCCAACACTCTGGATCACTAGGAAATGAGGCCCTATGTCCAAAATTACGGACTGTCCCTTTAAGGTTAAATGGCAAAATGTAAATAATTAAATGTTTAAATCACGTATGTTGTAGGGCGACAGTAGCTAAGTTGGTCAGATCCACTCACTCCTAAGTTGGTGACATTACTCCAGCTCCCACAGATGAATGTTGTTGTTGTGTCCCTGGGCAAGACACTTAACCCACCTCGCCCTGAGTGTCTGCGTACACTGGTGTATGAATCTGTGTGTCAGTTTCTTGCTGTAAAATGGTTTGAGTGCCTTGAAATTGGTAAAGCGCTGTATAAAACATATTGCCAAAAGTATCGAAAATCTGACACTAATCGATACTAAAACTAGTATCGAAACTAGATACTCATTTAAGCATTTAGTATCGATACTGGGGAAAAAACAAAACACATAACTGGATCAAATTTGACCTTTCCAGAGCAGCTTCATCTTGAGTTTTATCAGAACGAGTAAAAGACCACATGGTGTAATAAACAAATACTAAAATGCTGTGTTGAAAACTGCAATATTATCTTCAAAATTATCACTTGGTATCAAAATATCGGTATCGGGAATTGAGTATGGAGTCTAATCTTTAGTATCGAGTCTGAACTTTTAGTATCATAACAACACTATTTTACAGACTGTACACTTTAGAAACTTTAAGGCTCATTCGTGAGGAGGATATATCAAATGTTTTATAATAATAAGGTACGTTTATTTAAAGGTACACTGCGTAACTTTTCTGGTACAGGGCAGGGCGCGTCATAAGTAGGTAACGCAACCATCCCAAGTTACAAATCAGAACCAGATCAGTGGAGAAGCGACCTCACTCACAGTCAAAATCATGTTATTTAAGGTATTTTTGACCAATAAAAACAACCGTAATTGAAAATACTGTATAATAGAAACATATTTTACACTTTTAACAATTTATTTACTGTAGTTTTGTGTGTTAAAAGACCACAATACTGCATATTTATACGCTGTGCAAAGAAAAGTGTTAAACTTAACTAGAAAACTTCATTCTGACAGTGAGTGGGCTCGCCTCTCCACAGATTTGACTTGTAACTTGGTCTAGTGGCGCGCTTATTATTACAGAAATGGATATGTTTAATGCCGTACTGTGGACCACTCCAGGCAAAGTGATAATATCTCCATGGAAACGAGAAAAGCAAGTGGCAAATCCTCCACTAGAAAAGTTACACAGTGCATCTTTAAAATTAATAATAAAGTTTTGAAGATTTCTTTGGAAACATTGAACAAATTATCCAGATTTTCAGTCAGTTTCGTCAACATAAAAATACAGAAAAACTTAAATTAGCCATGATCGATGCAGAACAAACCCACAAAACAGCAGTATGATCTACATAAATGATATAAAATTAATTTAAAAAGACATACATTTGGGGAAAATACTGTAATAAATTTGTTTTTTACATTCTGGTGCAATGTAAACAGCGAAAAAACTTCGTGAGATCGTAAAGAGGTTTCACTTTTGTCGCAATTTTCAAAAACAAGGACAAAAATACAAAAGAAAAGCAGGTGGTGAACCCTGCCACTAGAAAAGTTACTTTATGCATCTTTAAAGTTAAGATAACATTTCAGAGCTGATGTCTACTTTTGAATATTTCTTCAGAAACACACTGAACAATTAATACAGAAAAAAATATACAAAAATAAATAAAAAAGACAAACAAAAAACGAAAACTTTGTGACAAAAGTGAAACCTCTCTACGGTCTCGCAATTTTCAAAAACAAGGACAAAACTAAAAACAGTGAACTGCATTAAAGGCAAAGTTATAACATCTCCATGGAGACGAGAAAAGCAGGTGCTGAACCCTCCACTAGAAAAGTTATTTTAACTTAAAAGATGCATAATGTAACATTTCAGAGCTGACGTCTACTTTTGGTGACTTCTTCGGGAACAAATTAAAAAAAATTTCATATTTTCAGTCAGTTTCGTCAACACAAAAATACAAAAAAACATGAATCAGCAGTGATCCACAAAAACAGCTGTATGATCTAAATAAATTATATAAAAATAAATTTTAAAAATACATAGATTTGGAGAAAATACTGTAAGATGAAAATGTTAAAGTCTTATAAGAATGTTTTGGTGCAATGTAAACAACAAAAAACTTGGCGAGACCGTAGAGAGGTTTCACTTTTGTCACAATTTTCAGAAAAGCAAATGGCGAACCCTCCACTAGAAAAGTTATATTATGCATCTTTAACGTTAATATAACATTTCAGAGCTGACGTCTACTTTTGGCGATTTTTTTCAGAAACAAATTAAATTATCCAGATTTTCAGTCAGTTTCATCAACACAAAAATCCAGTTAAACAAGAATTAGCAGTGATCCACAAAAAGCAACATGATCTAAATAAATGATATAAAAATAAATTAACAAGACATAAATTTGGGGGCTATACTGTAATACAAAAATGTTAAAGTCTTATAAGAACATTTTGGTGCAATGTAAACAACAAAAAAACTTTTGTGACAAAAGTGAAACCTTTCTACGATCTCACCATTTTTAAAAACAGAGCTGACGTCTACTTCCGAAGATTTCTTTGGAAACACGTGGAACAAATTATCCAGATTTTCAGTCAGTTTCGTCAACATAAAAATACAAAAAAACATGAATTAGCAGTGATCCACAAAAACAGCAACATGATCTAAACAAATGATATAAAAATAAATTTAAAAAGTACATAGATTTGGTGAAAATACTGTATTATGAAAATGTTAAAGTCTTATAAGAACATTTTGGTGCAATGTAAACAACAAAAAAACTTTTGCGACAAAAGTGAAACCTTTCTACGGTCATTTTTAAACATCTCAGAGCTGATGTCTCAAGATTTTCGGGCAGTTTCGTCAACACAAAAATACAGTAAAACACGAATTAACCGTGATCCACAAAATCAGCAGGATGATCTAAATAAATTATATAAAAATAAATAAAAAAGACAAATTTGGGGAATATACTGTTATAGAAAAATGTTTTGGTGCAATGTAAACAAAAAAAAAAAAAAACTTTGCGACTAAAGTGAAACCTTCTACGGCCTCGCCATTTTCAAAAACAAGGACAAAACTAAAAACAGTGGGGAAAAAAAAAAAATCAAATTCTATAGAAAAACATGTAAAATTAAGCACTAATGTAATAATAAGAAGCTTCAAAATCAATCCAAAAAAAAAAACACACAGTGAACTGCAAGAAAAGCAAGTGGTGAACCCTCCACTAGAAAAGTTACACAATGCATCTTTAAAGTTACTATAACATTTCAGAGCTGATGTCTAATTTTCTGGCCATTTCTTCGGAAACAAATTAAACAAATTATCCAGATTTTCAGTCAGTTTTTTCAACACAAAAATACAGAAAAATGATACAAAAATTTTAAAAAATGACATAAATTTGGGGAATATACTGTAATATGAAATGTTTTGGTGCAATGTAAACAACAAAAAAAACTTTGCGACAAAAGTGAAACCTCTCCACGGTCTCGCCATTTTCAAAAACAAGGACAAAACTAAAAACAGTGGGGAAAAAAAAAACAATTCTGTAGAAAAATGTGTAAAATTAAGCACTAATGTAATAATAAGAAGCTTCAAAATCAATCAATCAAAAGAAAAAAACAACACATAGTGAACTGCAAAAAAAGCAAGTGGTGAACCCTCCACTAGAAAAGTTACACAATGCATCTTTAAAGTTAATATAACATTTCAGAGCTGATGTCTACTTCTGGCCATTTCTTCGGAAACAAATTTAAACAAATTATCCAGATTTTCAGTCAGTTTTGTCAACACAAAAATACAGAAAAATCATACAAAAATTTAAAAAAAACTACATAAATTTGGGGAATATACTGTAACACGAAATGTTTTGGTGCAATGTAAACAAAACTTGTAAAATTAAGCACTAATGTAATAATTAGAAGCTTCAAAATCAATCAAAAACAGCTAAAATAAACAAACTCGCACGTCAGATCTGTACACAGCACATTAACCGGCGTAAACAAAACAAAATTAGACTTTCACTTTGTTAATTTCCGCAAAATCGTGCGTAAAAACAGCGAGTGTGTAAAGTCATTGCAGCGTTACCATCCTACAGCCTTCACAAATGTCAAACGTTTTCACGCTAAAGTATCCGACGAGCTGAAATAAAAGCGCG